AACAACACAAAAAAAGAATACAAAACTAAAGCAAGCAATTATAAAACAATGAATTTCTCTTGTTTTGTTTTTTAGGTTCAGTTACTCTTGGATATTGAGAATTCTCTACCACTATTTATTCTTAAGCGTCTTCAAGTGCACAGTTACTCTGAGTGCCCAAACGGCCCCAAATCGATCAGAACAAAGGTAAGTTACCGTAAATCCTATGTTAAGCTCCCCCCCTCTCAACTCTAATAAGCCCCCCTTTTTCCAAGGAAGAAAGTTATTAAGTCCTTCCTCTTCTTTAAGCCCCCTCTCCTCCCCCCTTATTCCACACAGTCGAGTTAGTAAACGATAGACTGTATCTGTAGTGTAATCACGACTGTAACACTTCATATGGACTGATCCGGTATGGTTTATTCACGTGCTGAAAGTTTGAAGTTGTTTTTGATCTTCGACTGCATGACCTCCAACTTCATGTGCTTGAACTTTTCACTTTGCGTTCTAGTTCTTTATGGAGAATTGGTACCATCTTCTAGCTGTGTGTTTAAATAAGCCCCCCTCCCCTTCAAAAGTGCTTGACCTCCAACTTCATGTGCTTGAACTTTCCACTTTGCGTTCTAGTTCTTTATGGAGAATTAATACCATCTTCTGGCTGTGTGTTTAAATAAGTCCCCCTCTCTCATAAACACCCCCCTCCCCCCTCAAAAAGGCTTAAAAAGAAATAAGCCCCCTGGGGGGCTTAATAGAGGATTTACGGTATAAATCCTTTTATCAGTGGAATCCCGATTTCACGGACGCTCGATTTTTTCGAACCCTCCCGATAACTCGAACCAAAAGTCACTTCTCTCCGCCTAGTCAAACACTAATTTTACCCCCGATTTTTCGAACTACCCGATTTTTTAAAAGCAATTTTCGTTTCCCTTGGAAGTTCGAGAATCGGCATTCTACTGTACAAGTGCGAAACATAATATTTTTGCTAAGTGCTGTTGAAAAGTGGTGTGTAATATCTCGATCGAGTGTGTCGACAGCTATAAAACAAGCATATACCCCGACCTATTTTTATTGTCCAACTGCTGATAGAGCAAGGCCTTGCCAGAAGGGGTGTGAGTGGGTTCGGTTTGTTGAGCTATTGTTTATCCCTGTAATTTAGAGCACAGTCATCCCTTATCACTAAAAGTGTCAACAATATTATCCCATAGTTAATAGAGGGAAATGGTTATGAAACCTGGCAAAGTTCTTTGTTGTATGTTTTTGTTGGCTATTTTGGGTGTTGACCCTGCACAAAACCTGGTAAAATACAAAAGGTGGTTAGGTGTGCTCATACAATTAGCCAATAGAAGCATTGCGGTTATGTAATTAATGGATAGTCAATGTGCATAAAATTTCGATTGCAAACTTATTACTGTAAACAAAATATAACGAAAGGCTTAACGCCCCCCCCCCCCCCCCCCCCCNCACCCCCCCCCCCCCCCACCCTCCACCCTAGGATCAGAAGTGACTAATCAGGGTAGTGCTAATCTCCAGTTTGAGTAGCATGAAGTGACTAGGAGTATTTCTACTTCCCCCTGGATGGGATGCTAGTTCATCGCAAGGTTACTCACGACATTAAATTCGGCGGAACCGATTAGGGTTCGCATGAACACGTAGCAGTGACCCCAGCCAGGGCTTGAACCCAGACCGCTCGGTGCGATGTCCAGCTCACTAACCATTAGGCCGCCGCACCTCACCGGAAGTTTTATATAGTTTTTAATTGTTGTAATAAAAAAAAACTGATCAAAGTTTGCAATGTTTGAGCTTGTGCGTTAAATGAAACATTTTGATTGTTCTGTAGCTCGTGGATGCTCTTGTGTCGTTTGGCAAACCAGAGTCCACTGAGGTGGAAGAATCCGAAGAACTGTCACCCGGCATGGTACAAATCCTTGCAAGGCTAGAACAACAGGAAAAAAGGTTGGTGTAAAATGTCAGCACTAGCATAAGTTCATTAGTTTGGGCCATTTCAGGAGTTACCCTAGGTTAGGTTTCAGTGGGTTCCCTTATCCTGCGAAAATGAGTCCCTGTATATTGATAAGCGTCTCCCAGTTACATGAAAAGACGGCGGGACCTTATCGTGAAGACTTCCTACGGTCAAACGTGGTGAGATCCTGGGTATTAGATTGGCGGGACTTAAAGAATAGTGAGGTGGTACTCTCCGCTACAACAGAGGAACTGGTTGGTGCAGACTTGCTCGCTTCTAGCCAGCCCTTTGCCAGTCCTAATTAGACAAGAAACCATCTATAGGTATTTCTTTTTGTACGTTCATTGCGTATGTTTTTCTCTTAACCCGAACAGAATATTTGCGTAAAATTAGATCCTCTTTTGTTTAAATGACTGCCTTTCTATACTAGATAAGTTTACTATTGCATGCGAAAGTTTTAACACGAGAATAGAGAGTAAATCTATTCAGGGGGAGCAAGAGATCCGCATGACTCGATCAAAGGCTAGATCTTGCGCTTTTGTTTACTTAACGATTAAACTCCTATTTAGCCCGAAGTTGGGGAAGGGAGGGAGGGAACAACAAGTGTCCCAGAAGACTTCAAGCTCTTGTAATTTGAACGATATTCCAAGCTTTTAAACTTTTCCTTTTTCCATTTCTTTATAATTGAGTGTACGAGTTGCAGTTTGTTTGGAGAGCCTAATATTAGAGAGTTTAGTGTCGACCGCGTTACCGTTTTTGGGGGTGTTTCTGCCCGATTAGCCACGCTTGTTTTCCTAAGAATTCTCCGTCACCGCTCACGAACAATAATCATTTTATGTGTGAATTATTTTTTTCTTTCAGAGCGGATAAAATGTACAACATGTTAAGAGATCAGGCTGAGTTGTTGAAGGAACTGAATCAGTTGACTCGCGTGGAAGGAGTTAGTTCTCGAGACGGAAAGAATGGAGAAGAAAAGAACCAAAAAGGAGGGTTGTTTCGTTTTGAATTCAAAGGAATTTAACCGAACACTAAGGGAAAAAGTTTGTGAATGACGTTAGCAGCGAGAACGAGGAACCTCTTTTAAGATCTACTTGTCTTAGTATGGTGAAAGTAAGGAAATCTGATAAGTTATTTATTTGCATGACCTGCGGGTCTGGCTTTGAATTAATATTTTACTGAAGAAGCTGTCAATACATTGTAAAAGTTTTGAGCTTTAATTATTTGTGTGTATTTAGTATGAGCGATACAAAGTTATTTTTTACTAGCACTTATGACTGGCTATGAGTGGAGTGAATAGGTCTGAAATCATATTATAGGATTAACGAAACGGAGTTATGTAGACAGAATTTAACGGCAAGTCGAATTTTTGTCTTCGTTTGACAATTAAGATGGAAGTTAACACAGTACGTAACATTCGCTTTTTTACAGTTCTGTTCTTAGTGACCAGGCCTTTCAGCAGAAACGAGGCAAGAGAGTTCTTCGTTATGATACGGACTTTACTACTTACTTATTGCCATCATGCCAGGTGTGGCGGATAGGGCAGCAACGAAATCACGCCACCCTNGCGATACAAAGTTATTTTTTACTAGCACTTATGACTGGCTATGAGTGGAGTGAATAGGTCTGAAATCATATTATAGGATTAACGAAACGGAGTTATGTAGACAGAATTTAACGGCAAGTCGAATTTTTGTCTTCGTTTGACAATTAAGATGGAAGTTAACACAGTACGTAACATTCGCTTTTTTACAGTTCTGTTCTTAGTGACCAGGCCTTTCAGCAGAAACGAGGCAAGAGAGTTCTTCGTTATGATACGTACTTTACTACTTATTTATTGCCATCATGCCAGGTGTGGCGGATAGGGCAGCAACGAAATCACGCCACCCTGCCTATCCTTAGCCAGTTTTTCAATGCTGCTCCAGTTGTACTTGAATTCATTCAACTCCTTCTCAACCGTTCTGCACCATGTTTTTTTGGGCTTCCTCCTCTACGCTTGCCCTCTGGTGTCCAGCGCATTGCAATTCTTGCTATGATACGAACCTTGTTACTTTTAAAATGTAAATTATTCTGCTATCATGCTTCTGTAAATAGCTGCTTTTATCTTCATCATCACAAAGGGCGCTTTGCATGTAACAAAAAATCGCGGTTCGAATTTCCGGACATTTAATTTGCAACGGCGATATTGAACAGTATTTTCCGAAATTTTAAGGTCAAAAACCCTTAAGGTATACCGAAATTTTCTTAAATTTCATCCCGAGAATTTCAGTTCGATTTGATTTTGCTCCCAGAATGTCAAGCCTTTTTCGGTTGAATGGCTGGTATTTCCGAATTTAACAATTCTCCGATGTTCCGGAAACCTCCCAGTGAATTTCCATGCTATTTGCACCTGTTTTGAAAGTTCCTTAATTTTTTAGTGTCATGGAAAGCGCCCCAGGTCAACCCAGCCAAGATCAACCAAAAACTCGTTATCTTGCAGGGATTAGATTACATTTCAGTGAACTGTAAAATGGTTAGCAAATTTGAAATTCTTTTATAGCCGTGTTTTGCGGCCCAGTTCAAGCTTGATTTGCAATTGAAAAGAATAATCATGCTATTATTTATTTTTGTATAACTGCGAAATTTACAACCACCCCCCGTATTAATTTGCCCTCTCAAAAAATTTTTGAAGATATTTAAGATTGCGTGGCAGCATAAATTTTACAGCAATCAAAGATTAACAAACAATCATAATGCTTATTTAGGTGGAAGACTCGTTACTACGAAGGCAATAAAGTAATGAGGTCTAACAAAAAAAGTGATTGTTTTATGTATATGTACACAGATTAGTAAAGAATTATCAATAATAAATTTAATTTCTATCATATGAGACTAAAACCACATTTTATTTTACGTCTTCTCGCCTTTAAAATTACCCTGGCGAGTCGAGTGACTTGAGTTATTTCAAACATCTTCATTCCTTCATTGCGCTAAAAAGATCCTTGAATAGAGGATCGAAATTGCTCACATGAAAGCAGGCCCTGAATTGACCAAAATGGGGAATCGCTAAACGGTTTTAGAGCTGCAAACCATGCGCTTTGTCAGGTGACTTTTACGCGCGAATACGCGCCAAGCGATCTCCTGACCTCGTCGGAGAGTGGGAAAGAACAACCTGCCCAGCATCGAAAAAAATATCCATGAATAGATAACATGACCAGTAAAACAATTCATTTGATTGGCAAAGTGAGTGATTTCCCGAAGAAAACAATTTCCATTTGAATCCGTAATCGCTCAATGGAAGCTCGCTTTGCAAATCATTTTACCTCGCATTGAGTCATCAAGGAATCAGCATCGCAGTTTATTCCTAACTGTGATGAATTTATAGACTTTTTTTGCGTGACAAATTTATAAGTGGCACGTTGGGAAAAAGGTAAGGTTCCCGCTTGCTGATCTGAAGTTGGCGGGATGAGGTCGCCGGTTCGAATACTGGTTTGGCACTGTTTTTTTTTTCCTTAGAGCTACTGACAGATGGTTAGCAATGGTTTCAAACGTGAAACTGTCAAACCGGTCGATGGATCGAATTATACACCCACCTTTGTTTTATACTAAATAGTTTTTAATTGGGTAGCTTTTGTTAAACGTCTAATATAAGTTCATCGCTTTAGCAGCCATTTTGTTCACAATGGTCTGGCAAATGTAGCCCCTCACGCGAAATTACCACCAAAAAGTAAATTTTAGGACCTCGAAAGATCGACCAACTGACAGAGCGAGTGAATTATTTCTTCCCCAACTAACTGCTCTAACTCATTCTAAATACTGCGCTATCACTCGTTAAAAAGGAACATTAAAGGTCCTCAAAGGGAACACAGAAGGAAACACAAAAGGGACCAAAATCCGACGCGCATTGACAATACAAAAAACGGAACGCTAAAACGGGACCTCAGGGGAACACAAAATAAAAGGAACTTGAAAGGGGGAAAATGAGTATAACCCATAAGAAGACACGGGAAAACAGACAGTGCACAATGCTTTGGGAAGGCCACGTTGAGAACGAAAGGCAACTTAAATTCACGACCTAATTAATAGCGGGGAAAATGCTCGTCGGAATGAGGGATATACGATTTAAAACTGTAAAGATATGAATTATATCTATTAAATGGCCTAGCTATTGCGTATATTTGACTCATACCGGCTCACGTGATCTCCACATAAACAAAGAAAATGCAGAACGTTTTCAGTGCAAAGCGTGCAAAGCGTGTTGTCGTCAAGATTGTGAGGTATTTGTTAGCTGATTGGTCTAATCGTATTTTCCATATTCATGATGAATATTGCTGACGTGGAGTGGTTGTTTGTCATTTTGAAATGTTTCCTGTCTGAATAAGATGTGTACTGTTCCCTTCTACACGAGAAGCAAATTCTTACTTTGAAGAAGAAATGGCGACCACGTTTGGGGAAGGACAGTCGATTGACACCCATTTCTGTCAATGGTTAGTATCAACTTCTTTGCACTCTAACTTTGTAAGTGATATATCTATCAGAAATACCGTCGCCAAGTCCTACCACGCGCGCTTGACAGACTCTGTTTACGTTTCGTGTTGAACTTAGAACGACCTCATTCTTTTAGTAAAGGAGTAAAACTTACGGAAGAAGCTAGTTTAGGAATCATTCGAGATCTTTCAAGTTCATAACGGGTTATTTCAATGAGAGTTTGGGTTTCTTCATGAAAATGACGACGTTTGTCGGTCAAAAGTTGTCTTTTACTTGTCCAGCGCGCACTCGTGTTTAACAGTTCAGTGTGAATTCTTTTACTTCTCCTTTACTCGTTTGTTTCCCGACTTGGAGTTTTTCCTCACCGAATTTTTATCCATTCTAATTTCAGAGAGTAAACGCCTGAAGACAGGAAAGTCAGGAAACCGCGAGGAGATTCAAGCAGATTCGGGATTTAAGCAGGGATGATGAAGACAAAGTTAAGAAATATCATTTGAGACTTTCGTTAAATTGAAATCTTTCCGATAAGAAATGGCAGTTTAGCAAATAGGGAAGACATATTCGAGTTCAAAATTTTATAGTCTAAAATCAGTTTGGTTGTTAAAATTGTTTGTTTTTTTTCTTGACTGAAATACTTGCATTTGAGTGACATTTCAGCACGAAAAACATTTCAATTCTATAGTGAATGCTAACTATCTCTGCCATTTTTGCCGGAAAGGTTTCAACCACTTTCGAGTTATCATTTAGTACATGTTTTCAAATTGTGGAGAGTTTTATTTCTTTGATCGAGCGATCATCAACTTGATTGAATTTAAGTTTATCGGTTGGCATTCGCATGCTTTACTAAACGTATCTTGTCAAAGTCGACAATTTTTTTTTCAAATTGGCGTAAGAACATTCGCTCAACTCTCCTACGTTTGAAAACAGGTTACTAAGAGATGACCTTTACAGAATATTGTGAGGTGGCTCTGCATGTTGAAATCAAACCGTGATAACAATTGGCCTACTGGTTACTCTGATCATGTCAGTCATAGCAAATTCTGTGAGAATATAAACTGGGCAAACATTTCAGCGTTGAACATTTTAATTGGCCTTGTTCTCCAAAATCGCACTACGCAGTGACGTTTTACAAAGGTCCAGTTTCAATTTATTACGTGAATTGTCTGTTGGAGAGTGCCCTTGCACAAAAACAAAAGTAAATATCTGTTCGTGGATATTGTTTAACTTTGCAAGCTTATCGTACTCGGTTTAGTTATCAAACACCGTTGTTAAAGATCTTTTCTACTTTTCAAATTTTCAAATTTTCAGATATGAAATTAAAAAGTCTCTAGATCGATTACTCCATTTACAGTCAAATACACGAAAACATTTCAAAATTTCTCTTTTTTGTTCATAAAGGTCACCGAGCTTCTACAAAAGTAGCGTGTTCTCATTCGTTTATGATATGAAATGTGTATGTTAAAAGAGCAATTTTATTGCTCAAAATTTATTAAAGACCAAACGTGTCTGAAAATCATGCAACTTGAAGTTAATTAAAGGTGCTCATGTAGTACAACTCTCAAACGATTTTTATCGTTTCTT